ATCATATCAACAGTCATCATCATCTTAGCTCAACATGATCATCATTATGAACACCAACATAACAAAAGTGATTATCATCATTACAATCATTATGACAGTAGTCATCATTATCATCTTCACAAAAATCATCATCCCCATAATCAAGTCCCACAGGGGTTACGTGTAATGCATGATTTAGGCTACAATAAGAGCGTCATAGGTGAAAATAGCACAATACATGAATTTTAGAAATATTGATGCATGAATTATGATGCTGAATGCCCCAGTGTCACCCTGTCACCCCAATGGTCTACCTGTGGTATATTCATCAAAGGAAGCCTGAAATAAAWTTTTAAAATGTCAAATCACTATCTAACTAACTAAAAAGTGTGAAAACTTTTTCTGTTTATTCTAAAATCAATGAAAATCTCATTATGAATTAAATCCAAAATTCTGGTGAAGCATGTCCATTACCAACAGGAGRTGCTCGTGATACTTCATTTGTGCCACGTGATTTAAGGTACAAAGCTTCTGAACCAGAGACTAATATTGGAATCTCTTCATTGGAAAAATGACGTGGTAATATTTCGATACTTGGATGGGTATTACAACTTTCCCGAGGTCTGCGTGTTAAATCTATGTTGCCATTACTCGTTGAAAGTCTTTGAACCACATTAGACTCATCTTGGGTTGTATCTGCATTTTTGATTGCTCTGACCTCACAACAACAGCACCAGATTCTAGTGAACAAGTACAAATGTTCATTTTCAACCTCAAACTGTTTTCCTCTCTTAAAGCAAAAGCCTTTTTCTTCAATATTAGGATGATAAAATTGATAATATATTAGCATAAAAATAATTCCAGCTATAAAACCACCATAAACTAAACTGATTGCTACAATCGAAACATTGCCGAATAAAGCACTATGTGGATACCACATCACGACAGAGGCAGTGTTTTCTAGGAGCATCAGAAAGTAGAAAAGAAGGAGCTTGAGTCTGGTCGATCCTTGAGTGATGTTGAAGAATGAAAAATTGTAAATAAAGGCAACAATTCCATTGTAGCACACTTCACGACCTGGATGGTGATTACCTTGACTATCCATGCAGAAATCTGTGTATTGCAAAACCAGACACAGAAACATTATCAGCCAATGTACGCCAATGCAAACGAATAACCAAATTCCAAAAAATGAGGCAAATAGAACCATGGCTATGATTCGTGATGCCAGCATCGATAACCTCCACATAATTTGAAAGAAAAATCCTATCCATGAAACTTTATGCCGCATAACATCTCTCAGGGAGTTAGTATAAGCCACAATTGCCCATGCAAGTGATACAAGGGAGCAGGAAGCAGTAATGGCAGTTAGTAAGTCACTACTGGTATTAAATCTCCTGTGGTATGCAAGAATGTATAGTTGAAGGACGAGTTGAGGKGCAGACTCTAGATATGCCTCAAAYAACCGTAACATGGAAATATCACGCCATTCAGCAAGGAAGTAGTGGTATTCAAAGGGGCTACAGTTTGTTTTTCTTGTTCTCCATCCACTGCGGAAAACTCTCCAATATCTAAATTGAGAATTGAAGCAATATACTATTTCAAAGAAAAATTTATAAAATAGTTACAATGTTACATGTACAATCACAATGTTATACGTACTGTTCAAGATTTTGGGATTACACCTGAAACCTTCTYGACTTGTTATGTTCATTCATACCTAGTAGGTCATCAGGGTGGATTGATTTACTGAGCAATATCAATCTTGGATCAAATTACAAGTACTTATAAAAAAAAGTAATWTTTTTTTTGTATTGTCATTAAGCCCCACTTGAATATTGAAATCCTATTTAGACATATAAGATACATGAATTTTTACCACATATAATCAAACACTCTGCATATTTACTTTGCTTTCCTATATTTCTTGGGGATAATTTTTTACGGTAAGAAGGTCAAGTAGTTCAGCACACACAGGGATGGAAATACGCTAAAAAATTAAGCTTAGCTTACGTAATGGTTGGAAAAATTAATTTTGACATTAAGTCATCTAAAATAAACGATTTGTAACAAAATAATAAGAAAATTAATGATGTTAAAGGCGGGATGATTGTGGATAAATGGAGAAACTAAATATATTAGGGACTCAGTTTCGAAATAAGGTTATTCTTGACTTTTACCTTATGAGAGGTCCAAGGTGCAGCATATGCAAGACGTAAATAAACCAATTTTCTTCTCTACTTTCGATGGTCTGCGTATCCTCGTACAACCATTTTGCAGAGAATATTTGCAGCGTAAAAGACGATAAAAGCACAAATCCCAGCGTCAGTCCAAACCACGTGTACTGTCCTTTACTAAAATATAAACCAGCTACAAACAAATCGCTTCCAATGTCAACTAAAAAAGTAAGAATTGAACCCAAGGCTACCAGATCCCAAAACCAATGAACCTTTTTGTTTCCAACTCGTTCTTCATCCGGAATATCACGACGTGTGGCGGGAAGATCTGTCTGATCGACATTTCTTGAACGATTTTGAAGGACACCATTATTATTTTGAGAAGATTCTCGCGTCAAATGCACTTCGGCCGCCATATAAGTTTAGGTTCCAGATTTCTAGATGATGACTTGACCACCCGAATCAAATATTCAGATCGAAATTCTTTCGGAAATACATTAAAACATTGCTATAATCCTGTAAATGTCCCCTAAAAACCCTTCTTTTGGAAAGTCAATAGCCAAATACCGTCTTTCGTTTTCATGCGTATTTTTAGACTGTTTATATTATTCATAATAACCCAACGAATAATTATCGATTTGTTAATATGGTCATTCGGATTTTCTGGACTTTTCTAGTATCGGGACTTTGCCCGTACCTTGCGGGATCGCGTCCCGGGTTTATTCGCTTGAACTCTGATAAATGGCGCCGTAGACAAACGATTTAGGGCTGATTTGAGCTTATAGTTCTTTCATTTTCCTATATGCAGGTAGCTGAAACTGCAGAAGAATTGATGCATTAGAAATGCAAATTGGATGAATCAAAAATGCCTCCTAAAAAGGCTTCGTCACCAGTCAAACTAGCACCGAGAGGTGCTGCAAAACCTACCACTAAAACCACTACAACAACCACCAAGAAAGCTCCGAATACTAGCAAAACTGGTGCAGTGGCTAGTAAAGGAAGTGCTGCCAAGAAAACTGGTGGAGCTGCAGTTAAAGGGAAGCCCAAGGGAAAAGAAACTGTATCCCCAAAGGTACGAAGTTAGCCTGCACTATAACTCGGGTTTCCATGGATGCAAGGACGCCTCTTAATGGAATCCGCATTTATGTTAACACAACCCTTGATTCACGAATAAGATTTATAATCATGATTGGCGTTAATCCTATTCATTGCATAACCTCATAATTGCTCGTGATTTTGCTCWCGTATCTTTAAATCCCGTGGTCTGTTGCAAAGTTTTTCTTTCCACACACATTATCAAAGTCCATGTTTTTTCCACAGGAACCCCGAGTTACGTTTGTGTAAATAGCGTTACAAAAATTATTTCCCAAGATCTCTTTAGAATTTCTTTGTGATTTTTGCTTTTTACTCTTTCCTTTATATTAGGCATTCCCCTTAATAATTTTTTCCTAAAGAACTTTATATTTCTTTCTTAGCCCAAAGGTCCAGTGTGGACTAAAAATGATGAACATGCAAGAACAATCCAAAAATATGTCAGAAGGCATCTTGCAAAGAAAGAATTACAGAAACTTAAAAAACAAAAACAAGATTATGATGGTTTAATGGAGAAACTGCAAAAGGAGGTATATGGTTGAATTTTCATAGGGGCAGGTCAGATAGCACACCAGGGATTTGAAATAACGTAACGGCCACATCAGTCATCAGTCATGATCACAGACCAAATTAGTTTTAGCTTAGTCACACCTTATTTCTGGCTCAACRTTACTTGTTGAAATGACCAGCAAGGCAAAGATTTGAGCAGACAAGTCCCAGTTCTGGCCAGACATTGTCCAATAACCAGCCCTTCCAGTAATTAACCATTTGCCCCCCCCCCCCCCCCWTGGAGGATTTTGGGAAATTGGACTTTGTACTCTTTGAGCCAAGGTATGAGTTGGTATACTGTCAATCAGAAATAGTAGATGCAAGCCTTTGACTGTCACAGAATTTTTGCTATCTAGAAATATAAAGGCAARTTGTTGGTACATGTAAGTAACTCAATGGGGAAAAGTTATGCAGGGAATTGGTATGATCTTTAGTRAACTGGGAATAAAGAGACAGAAAAAAATCCAAAATAGCCTGGCWGAGAAATCCCCTTGTAGCAAGGGGTAACAACACATCAAACAAATGAACTCATTTCATGTATGCGRTTCAGTCGAGAATCAAGTCAGTGATACTAGTCTTGGACTACAAATCTTAGAGACAATGCTGTAATAGGGAAAGCCATCCATTCATGGGATAGATTTATGCCAGTTGCTTAATGGCCAACTTGGGTATAGTTGAACACTGTCTCTGATCAAATACTAGTGTAGACTTATTGGCTCTTCCAATTAGTAGTGGCCCTCCAAGGCTATTTAAGGAAAAATAGTGATCTTTCATCTTTTTAAAAAGGCATGGCTGAAACTTGTTCAAATGGAAAGAGAACAAGCAGAATTGGAAAGGAAGAAGGAAGAAGAAGAAAGGAGAAAGAGAAGGGAAGAGGCCAAGCGACAAAGTAGGATTTTAGAGGCAGCATTTGATGGGGATAATGATGAAATTCTTGCTGCTCTTGAAGAAGTGAGTAAAGTTATAAACTGTCAGAAGTATCTTTAAGTTAGAACACCTACCTAGATGGTCTCTTGCTCTATTTCTATATGGTCACTGTTATATAGGTTTAATTATCAAGACTTGGTCTTTACATCACACCCCAAGACTGTGAGCAATCCCTCTATTTTCCTTGGTCAGCTGTTCCTGCATTTTCTTTTTTGTCCTATTATCTTACTTGGCAAGTTTAACTAAAAGCAAAACACCATACTCTGACCAAGGGAAATGGATTTTTCTCATGCTGCAGTCGTGTTGCCTGATACAAAATATTTCCTCTGGGAATTGAAGCCTCTTACAAATTCAAGCACTTCCGGACAAGTTCACCCTGGCAAAATCACAGGAAAAAAACCAGATTCCCAAATTGGGAATTTGTTGGGAATTTCCTTGAATTCCCAATGAATTCCCATCCAATTTCCAGAGAGAACGAAATTGGGAACGTGGCACTTATTCCCAATGTTAGTTTGTTGGGAATTTTGCTTTTCTATTGGGTATTAGAAGGAAATTCCCAACAATAAATTCCAACGTTGGTGTTCGAATTGGGAATTCAAGGAAATTCCCAACAATTCCCAATTTGGGATTCTGGTTTTTTTTTCCTGTGAAAACAAAGGCTTATATTCTATGGGAATAAACATGTTAGAGGGAATGCTTGCACTAGTGTACTCACACATTGCATGCTGAACCTAGAGTACCCTCCCCCACTTCTCTCCTTTCTAGGAGAAATTCAAAGCATAAGTTGCCCAAATTTTATGCTAAGCAAGATCAYTTTTTCAAACCTCCTAATACAAGCAATTTTCTTCATTTTGTCCTCATGAAATATTAATGAATTTTAGAAGACGTTTTGACTTTGTTATTTTTTTACAGGCATTTGAAGAAGACAGTAAACARACATCCTTATCAGACACTGCTCGTCAGTCACTTATCATTCGGCACCAGTTTGCTCTCATAGACTGTAAAGATGCTAATAATAACACTCCACTGTCAGAAGCAGCAGGGGGAGGACATGTTGATACAATTATGATGTTGATACAAAAGGGTGCCGACATCAATTCTAGRGGAAGATACAAAAGGACTCCTTTGTGGAGGGCAGCTTTTGGAGGACACTTACAGGCTGTACAAGTATGCCACAACACAACCATTAGACTAAAATAGCACTTTTGTTTCATTTATCAAATCTTGGATCTTTAATATTTTTACATTAAATTTGCTAGCCTTTAGGTTCCAGCGCTACTATAGAGGCTTTGTACCAACACATGATGGCAGCCATGACAGGAGGCACGTCAAACAATAGTCTTTTTCCCAAAGGAAACTGAATTCTTTCTCATTTAAATCAGATAAGACCAGATTCAATATTGTTCCTGCCTCCTGTCATGGCCGACATCATGTGATGGTGCAGAGCCTCTATGCYGTGAGTGCAGTATGTTTGATGATGTGATGATGAATATTGATGGTGTATGTTTCATGACAGCACCTGATGATACATGTAATAAAAGTGATACATAATAATGATGACAATTATTATTATCATTAACACTACAGTTACACAATGAAACATATTTGCCTATATAACAGATATAATTGCACCCTGTTTCTATTTCCATTTTACTTGTTATAGACCCTTCTTGAACAAGGTGGTGATCCAAGACTTATTGCGGATGACGGCACAAATGCAAACCAAGTAAATAAACATTGCTACTTGTCATTCCATTAACTGTGATATCAAGCAACAGTAGAACCCATAATAAAATTATAGAGATATAATTTACATGTATTACAGAMAATCTRAGTTAATAGSGCAGCGCACTGATTCTAAAAATRGCTTAAAGATTCGGACAAACATTGCATTCTGTTTAACTGCTATGAGGATTATACGAATTTATTTTTACTTAAAGTTGCAATAATAACCCATGTAAACTAAGATCAACTGCGATTGGCTGTGAAAATTATCTGCTGAAAGTAAACTTGTAAGTGTGTTTATCTGAATTTTGCCTTTGTCTTTTTTTTTATGACGTCACGGTTGYGCTCGCTGTATAAATTCTTGCAAAAACCCTCTCTGGGATTTTGATGACTGGCTGTGAAGGAGAGCTGAGGCTGGAAGCTCAATAGTTAACTGCCTAATACTAAAGTAATGATAAAAGGATAAATTTTACACAGTSAAAAGATGAAAAAAGTTATTGACCCTTTGGACGCTAGTCCTTTGTTGGAGCTCTGTTACTCCAACGAAGGACTAAGCATCTTAAACGTCAGTAAGTTTTGTCATCTTTTCACAGTGTAAAATTTACCCTTTTATCGTTACTGTTTCATTAGAAACACCGACGCAGCGCACACTAGTTTTTTAGCTAGTTATCTCTGCTTAATACTACTGTACATACACCAGCCTTTATTGAATTATCATGCATTGCAATTTCTAGGTTGCAGCTATTGATTCAGTCAAGAAGGTGATAGACGAATGGGGCATTAGTCAAACAGATGTACTCATAGAGAAGATAGCGAATGAACGAGAAAACAGAGCAGAGGAAGAAAAGAAGCGATTAGAAGCTGAATGCAACAGGTCAACATGCAAATTAATAAAGATATATATATAATAATACATTGTAAATTAAGAATACATTTTTCGTTTTATGTTAAAAGACTTGAAGAAGAAATCACAGCAGCAGAGAAAGAACACAAGGCTTGCCAAAAAGAGGTAACATCTAGATGATCAGCTGTCAAAACTAGATGCTTATTTTATATATGAAGACTTCACAGCATCAATGGCTCTAACAAAGTGATTTTGAGCCGAGTAGCAGTAAACAGTGGATAAATGGRTCTCATCATCATTTTCTAGTTTGCTCAATGCTGCGCAGCTCAGAAGTAYTTTGTGACGGGCCACTTGATCCAGAGCGTAATTTAGCCTTTAAAAGCAAAAGAAACTAATTTGATGCAAGTAAAGATTAATCTTGTAATGTCATTGATTGAAAATGTTTTGGATGCAGTTAAAGAGAGCACATGAAGAGCTCAATAAAAGAATCTTTGAACACGATCAGTGCATGAGCGAAGGGAAGTTGGACAAGAAAGAGATTACCTTGCAGGTGGAGTATCAGGTTTTTACACTCTTGTTTGTAAAGTGGGGTGTTTTTTGAATTACAGTGAAGTCACCCGTGAGTTCAGTCACCTGGACTCAAGTTGCTCAAAGTCATCGTTGTGTTATTGGTTTGACAATTCCCTGAAGTAATGAACTCCGGGTGTCTGAACCATGCATAATGGCAACCGACCCACGACTCTGGCCGACCTGAGTCCGGGTGACCGAACTCTCGGGTAACTTCACTGGATGACTGTTTTTTTCTATTTAGTATGTACTTATACATATATATTTTAAATTGTTAAGTGCCTTAGAACATTGAATAAGGCWYTATAGAGAAAGAAATAATTTTTTTGACTCACAACACTATTTGACTTTTTTTGTTTAACTCACAACACTACATTGTTGTCATACATCCATTATGTATGGAAGGGTTTAGAAGTGTGRGTGTCATGGRGGATTTTWCYCCCCCCCCCCCCCTCCTGCGCAAAAAAATTTTATGCAATCACAAACCATGTCGACATTACATCTATTAATTACTTTGTTCTTGCTAGATCAAACAAAGTAACCTTATGACTTAAGAAACTGAGTGAAGGCTACCACCTAGCTACGTATAAATTCTAAGAGATGTATTTTGTATTTCTCAAAAAAAGTTCCATCTGCCAAAAATGCTAAAACTAGATACATTATTACAGGTACAGGCCAGACGTTTTTCAGGGCGCCAACGCATGGCAAATGTACATGCTACATGCACAGGCCGCTCTGTTTGTCAGCATGTGCTTAATTTATGCACAAAGTGTGGACCCVGCTCRTCTSTATGGAATATTCTTTATGAAAAATTAAAATTCATGTTACTTRTTTACACAGGCTATTCATGATGCYRAAGAAACCCTTGAACTTGTGAAGATTAAAGCTGAAGCTGCACAGAAAAATCTAGCACAGGTAAGCCAAAGATAACTACAAAATTAGCTTACATTGTTAGTGTCAAATCAATGTTAAGCTACATTGTTTTGTTATCTTATTCCCTATATGACTATGTACAGGTTGACATCAAGTATGTGTCATGGAAAGTTGACCCTTAATATGTGGTTTTATCATTTATGCTGTGGCTTTACAATGAATCAAAATATGGCTACTAAATGAAATGACTAGCCTCTTATACATGAGGCTAGTCATTTGCAGTCTAATAAGTTATTCACATTGGTCTCCATATTTTAATTCGTTGTATAAAAAACTAATTATTGTCTGAATATTTTTTCTACAGACAAAACTGAAGTTGAGAGAGCAAAAACCTCAAGATAAGGAAGGTAAACCAAGTCTTATACAATGTTTCGATTAGGAATAGCACTATGCTGAAAGGGAACACTCTTTATCACAGGACTATGTCAACTATCTTGTTCCACAKGTATTAAGGACCTTTTTTTTTTACCAAACGGGCAAAAAATCAGGTTCAAGAGAAGGGACACACAACAAAAATCCAAGTCACAAAACACTTTGAAAATGAAAAGAATGAAATACAAAAGAGAAGGGTTCCTTTAAAATATTTTAAAATGTTTTTCAGAGACAGAAAACCTCCAAGGAATAAAGGTCATGATCAAAGACTTGGATGATGTGCTCTTTAGGGATGTTGGTGGAAAGATTGCTGCAGATGGAAGGTACTGCTGGCTAATGGAAATATCAMTATGAAATGTTGATAGCAACCTTAAACATTTTTGCTTCTTTGTTTTKGATTTCTTTCTTATTCAACTGTCATTACCTCAGTATTAATGAAAACAATTGGAAAAAAACAAAGTCATTACAAAGCGAACTTAAAGTACTTTCAGCCTCTTATGCAGACATTCATAGGGCTGTCACATTGTCATTAAGGAGCAGGCATAGCTCAGTTGGTTAATGCGCTGCCTTCGGAGCTAGAGGTGCATCTGTTTCAACTTCCTCTAATCTCTGTAGCTTTAATTACTCTTAAAAAAGAATGCTGATGGAGAGAGGGGGTAAAATGTTGCAACATTGTCATCCTGGGATACCAGCCTCGTAGCTAAAGGAAGTACCAACATTAAATAATACTTACTTTACCTCTACCTATCGTAATGTAACAATTCTTATGCATTACATGATCATTCAAAGATGTCTTTGTAGGCGGCTAAGTTACATCTTGCTTTTTYGTTTACACTTTTGGAATTATTTTATTCACCCATTTATTATTTTTTCAAGGTGGCCACTCATTATCGACCCTTCATCACAGGCCTCAACATTCCTGCGCTATAGAGATACAAATTTCCTCAATGCTCTCAGTCAAAGGGATATAAACCCTGAAACTATCAGAATTGCTCTTCTAGGATCTATAAGGTAATAGAGCAAAGGTGGTTTGAATGAGTTTATACAGTGTTTGAAAATCATCTTAAGGAAATTTTTTCCATTAATGAGCAATAATGGCAAAAAGCACCAAAAACTAGACTTTTGTACAAGTTCTGATCCCAATTTTTGTTTTGGGTTAACACTCAAAACCTTTTTTAAACAGTTAAAAACTGATGTAACTATAATAAAATGCCTGTTTGAAGCAGTATTTTCAATTGTACAAAGATGTTTTGTTGCATTTGTGTTAGAATGTTGCTTTGTCAGGCTTTTTTTATAAAATAATTATGGGAAATAAGCAATTGAAGGCCTAAACCTCATTTTCGAATAAARGTTTTGCTTTGGGTTAACACTTTGATTCCACTTTCATCATTCGTCTCCACTTCCAAACAAGTTCAACTTTCTGAATAACAAGATTTTAGCCTTCAAGAAAATAGCCTTTTTTCAAGAAAATAGTTTTTTGCGCTCACTGCTTGAATAGCAAAAGAATTCTCTCTTTAAAAAAATGCAACAGATTGCATGATATATTTGTTATAGCTAGGCAATGCTCCTTACAATACTTGCTTTGTAAGATACATTTCCATAAAGAATGAAACAGGCCTTTTTTCTTTCTTTTCTCATCATAAAAAAGGTACATATTTTTACTTATAGATTTGGTAAACCAATGGTTATAGATATGATGGGAGTAGATTTGTTTGACACACTTGTTACAAGGTTTGATGAAGTGCAAGCTGGGTTATTATCATCCATCATGAACAAGAGCATCCTCAAAGATAATAAGTAAGTAGACAAGCTTCTTTTCCATGGAAGAAAGGGAATTTCTTATACTCCTTTCAAGACTCTGTGTCTGAGTCGGAGATAGGGAATACATGGGAACAAATAAGGTTAAATGAATTAATGAATGAAGACATAGTAAATAAATAAATAAATAAATGGGATTTAGCAGTGGCATTTCTACAGAGTAGCTAATAATTCATCCACTGTCATTCCAATTGGAATGTAGGAGTTGATTTTTGCAGAGGGAGGAAAGCGGGGAACCCTCGAAGCACAGGAGAGAACCAACAAACAACTCTACTCACATACGACATAGCGAGGGTTATTAAGTAATTAAATAAAGACGAAAAATTCACAATTAATACGGTGGGGGAAATGAAATTTTGAAATAAATGGAAAAAAGTTAAAGGAAGATTGCTTGTTGGTAAGACACAGAATCACACTTACTATACACTGAATCAAAATATGGTGAGCAACTTGAATAATTTGTTCTGGTAATGATGAAAAGGTAAATTATACACCGTGAAAAGATGAAAAAACTTACTGACGTTTCGGACGCTAGTCCTTCGTCGGAGTAAAAGAATTCTTGTTCTGGACTGACTAGCCTCTCATGCATATCAAAACCCTTTTATGTTTCCATGTTAACATGAGGCTAGTCAGTCCAGAACAAGAATTTTTCAAATTGGTTGTCATATTTTGATTCAAGTGGTGATAACTAGTAGAGTAATAGAGTGGACTGTGTCGGTGTTTCTGAATAAGGCAGCAGGAACTTGATTCAGTCTTAAGTGTTCTCTACAAAAAAGATAGGCCAGTAAAACTATGTGAAAATAGTTACATAGTGCCCAAAAGTAGAGTATAAAAATCAGTTATTTCAACATAGTGTCATATATTGAATATCTTTGACATTCTTTGAATAGGTTTCTAGAGCTAGTCCGCCCTGGGGACGGTGAGGAGTACAGTAAGACAGCATTCCTTGGTGCAAGGATTGAATGTTTCTCTTTTGTGATTATCACACAACAATGGAATCCGCCAGAACATCTAATGGAACAAACTTATCCTATTAGAATCATCATTCCATCTCTACCAGACTACTAACATGCAGTAATGTGAGCTTTAAGATGATAAATGGTGCACTATTTTGAACTTTTTTTTTTTTGAACCCTGAAACAACCTCTAGGCTGATTAACATCAGGGCACAGCTAATAAACAGATCAAATTGGAAATCAGCTTGTTAGATTCTATACGATAACAAACCCCACTATACCCCCCCCCCCCCCAACACACACAATATAACAAAATGATAGTCTGCCCTTTGTTAAGAAAAAGAATATCATAACCACCTGTGGATATGAATAAAATGGATTTGTTTCATAAATTAATGTGTGCTGCCTTTTTTAATAAAAAATTATTTTCCTTATGTTTCAAAATTTCATTACAAAATTCTTATTTCAACAATTATTCTATTATACAACCATCACTCCCTGTAATAATAATTAACTACTGTAAGTTGTTGTGATAAGAATTTCATATCTTTTTTATCACAATAATCACAATTATTACTTATTTACAACATGGCTTTTGATTTACGATAAAAGTCAAATATCCAAGTTAAGTTAGTTGACTTTCAAATTTAAAATAGTTTAAAGTAAAAGAAAATATCAAATATTAAAAAAAGAAAAAAAGGCAAGGGGGCAACCGGGATTGAACCGGTGACCTCTCGATCTGCAGTCGAATGCTCTACCACTGAGCTATACCCCCGAACCATAACAAATTGAGCGAATAAATGCAATAAATACGTTCCAGTCCCTCTCGCTCTTCCTTACTCCAAGAAGTTCTTCTACATCGATTTTTTCTCATCACTTTTAAAACCATATTCCATCATTCAGACAAAAAGTATTAAAGTAATGTTGGATTCAAAACTTCACRTATTTTTAAGATTTGTAAAAAAAACCGCTAAATATCAAAAAATGTGCGTTGATTCGAAATTGGGCGGGAAAATTGTCTCCTCACTCGTCGGTATYTTAAAAGAAATCTTGCATTAGTCTTTAACAACTATACTAAATAATTACTTTATAGAGATTTAAGATACTTATTTTGATAATCTATAAGTACATTTTGTCTCGCAATACTTTTTGTCACTACTGAAACTAGAGCAAACTTGTTGGAAGGTAAAATTTCGACTTCACTTTTAGAGACTTTGTTGCTCTCTAGATGAAATTCAAATACATAGATGGATGTAAGGAGGTTTAGGAAGAAGTTTCTTATTAGTAAAAACGAAAATAAAGCATTAATTTTTCTATAAAACGCTACCTACCAAGACACTTGCAAAGTCCTGCACGTGTTTGAGAGATAGAACGATCGCTGCTTAATCCACAGGTAACCCAATCCAAGGTGCAACCTTATTTCACAATGACGTCACCAACCAAGACGTTATAGCGCTTTTTTACAGTTATTACTATAATTTACATCCTAGAATGTTATTTCAAAGACGAAATTATCTTTTATTAGAATTTCATTMATTTTATTAGAAGATAATATATAGGTAAGTTGTAGTGCTTGGGAACGAGGTTATTCCGGGCGAAAGCCCTTGGAATTAAATTCGGAAAAATTAATTTCCGACCTCGCTGTTCCATTTCACCTCTGACATCACTAGGCGTTTGCTCATTTTGTGAGTGACGTCACGACCAGTTTTTCAATATGCATATCCCACATGTAAAGGAGGAACCAATGGTGGTATACTATCAGTGACACAGTCGACAAGCCGCGGGTCTGTTGTTCATAGCAAGGCGTTAATCATCAAGGGACCTACTAACCTCTCCCGGATAGTGGCGGGTATCGGGGCCGCAATCTCCGTCATAGATGTAAATGCTTAGGGCTGTCATACTGCGCTTCAGCCATAAGAAATAGAAATATTTTTTTTAGCTAGCAATTACATAACCTCTATAATTAAAAAGATCGATAGGCGACGAAAGGACATACCAATACGGACGGCCAAGATCTATACTGTACCCACACGAAGCCCCGCGCTTTCAGAAAAACAAAGCAAAAAGAAGAATCTTGACAAAGAAAAGCAAATTGAGTTTTATTGAATATTTCCAGTTCATGCATCTTGTTATAAACGATTGTCAAAGTAGTTTTCGGTCTTCTTGAACATAGTGACGTCAATAATTTACATTCAAATTTATTCAAATTTTCAAATAAGTTTATAATGAAAATTAATGTATTAGGACAAATATTTGAAGCCAGTTTGATAGTATATTATTGAACATAGAAAGTGTAGAAAGAATTGGGGGGAAAACAGTCGATCTTGTTTCATATTAACTTTTCTATAACATCACCGAAAGAGTACAAAGTTGTTCCATACTAGTGTACGCGCGTCGGTATCCGTGTATGCTTGAAGTAGGTGGGGAAGGGGGGGGGGGGGGGGGGGGGGGGGGGAAGGAAAAAGTATATTTTAAACAGCCAACACCTCATCCTTTCTGGATCTTTCTGGATCTTGCTATACATTTGTATCTTTTCAACTATGAATTCAACTAAGATTGGGTTGATCGTCAATGTCATCATTCTTTTTGTTTCTCGCTAAAATATAAGTTTTTTCGTCTCTACTGTCAAGACAATAATATCGCAAATTAGATATAGTGGAGTTTAGCTACAAGGGCTTTGCCATATAAAAGTGATGTGGTGCGGCTGTCCATCTGACAATGGAAGATGTTGTTTCTTGAAATGTTTTGGCAAAGGCAGTGGTGAGAAAGCCAGCAGCTTTGGTAAAAAGTGTGTGGAACTGATTGATAAATGACTTGCAAAACCTGCAGGCAGTTGACATTCAGTCTGTATCATCACCAGCCGCCATTAAACCTGCTCGTTCTCATTGTTCAATTTCTGCGCCTCAGAACGATCATTCTTTCCAGTCTTTGTGATCTTGGTCACTGCCGACAAAGCCATACGTCCTGGTCCAGCTATATTCCCAGCAGACATATGCATGCGCATGCGTTTTTGTTTCTCTTCGATAACACTGCTGACTGAGCATAGCACACTAGAAACAACGCACAGCCCGACTGTAATCAGAACGATGGTAAAATTAACAGCTACGGATTTTTTGTCATCTGGGTCATTGAGCTCTCCATCGTTGATGATGTAATCGCCAAAACCAATGGTCGAAAGACTAATGAAGATGAAGTACATCCCCTCAACGAATGTCCAGCCATCGGTGTGTGACGTCAGAATGGCGCCAAAAATGATAATGAGGATCATGAAGACGAATGTGACAACGGTGCTTTTCATTTCTGTGTTGAGCCCCATTTCTCGACGTAGAAGTTTCTTCTCGACAAAACTGATGAATTTTTGAAGCGCAAGACTAACGTGTGAACCCACGCTGATCAACATAATGCCAGCTACTGGAATCGCTACCAGACTGTAGAGAATACAGAAGATTTGCCCGCCGCTAGTTTTGGGCGTCAAATGACCATAGCCTGAATGAGGAATGGAAAAAAAATGCTTTTAGTGTCGTCGTTGGAAATATATCCTTATATCAATAAAACTTTTAAAGGAATACCCAGAAAATGGAGAAACACCAATAAGCACTATTTTTGCGAGATCCGCAAGAAATATACGACCTCATTCACTCAACCACCGCTGATTGGTTGATAAAAAATTGAAATCAGTCGATAATGGCAGTGACTCTTAGATTTTTTTCTATCAGACCAAAAGCTATAGGATCGTGGGCTCTGGATTCCAGAGAAGACAGTCAAAATTTTCAAACTCAAACTGTTTGGCTAAGAATAACTTTGAGTCACTTCCAGCTGCTTTGCTTAGCTTCCAGCAGCCTGTTCTATACGAGAAAACGCCATGAATATTTTATCACGTTTGACTGTACATGTAAAAACACCACATTTGGTGTTTCGGTCATAGCTTTTAATTTTTCATTCGCAAAAAAAAGATTTCAAAAACAGAACAAACTAAGAAAAAGCTATGATCATCTTGTTCATGAGTTTACCTTGGCGTCTAACTTTTGAATGTTTTGAAAGTGTTGCTGACTGTAGGAAACAATGATCTAAATTAATTGACTGGAAATTGAGAGTTATGTGTTTCGTGTTTATTACGACAAAGTACCTGTTTGTGGGCACAAAAGTTCTAGAATATCCTAATCAAACTCAGTGTGTTTTATTTTCCTAGATTAACCAATCCTGAGCTTAAAACTTCCGGCAACGATGTGTAGTTTTGATAAAAAATTCGTTCTAAGAATGTAGACCAATCGTTTGACAGTAATTGTCTCGTTTAGTTTTATTAACTATTGACTATCTTTAAGTGGAAATGGTTTGCTTTGTCAACATCATTGTCACTGTTTTTTTCCAAAAATATAAGTACTTATAGAACAATATCAAAAATTTAAACGTCAGTTTTTTTCTGCAGGAGAGTCTGCCAGAGCAGAAGAATTCAAGATAAAGAGAGGACTTAAAAAGAGAAGAGAATAAATTGTACCTCTGAAAGTGGAAGAAAATCAGTTTGGAAAATAAAAGTGAAATTAAATTAAATTGATAARAAATGATAGGAAGTGGCTTAAAGGAATAGAATGAGAACTGAAAGAAAAGTCGAAATTTGAATTGGTGATTTCAATCAAGAGTGTCAATTTTTGTATAAATCCTTTCCAATATACGTTAAGTCTGTCTGCAATTGGGTGACAGGTTGAATTGTTAACTTCTCAATTGACAACTATTGAACAAATTTGCACATAGCTTCACTCTTGAATATATTAAGTATCTTACCTATTGTAGTCATGATAGAGAACGCTAGAAAAACAGAATTACTGAACGTCCAACGTGGTTTCTTTGCCAACTCTTTCAGGCGTATTTCATCTTCTACTGCAGAAAGAAATTTATCAAAATCATCTGAAGTAATATTATACTTGGTAATAATGTCGACTTTCACGTATAAGGCTTTTTCAGACTCAGCATCGATGTTGTCATTCTTTTTTTCAATGGCTTGGAAAATAGCTGCTCCAATGACTAAAACGATGATGAAAATGCTGATCTTGATGATTAAGGACTTGGGTTGGAATTTGTGAGGATTCTCTTCTTCAACCGCCCCGAGGTCGGTGTCTGACATCTTGTAATTCTTTAAACTTGGATCTAAAAGAAGTCTTGGGTTTGGTTTGACAGTGTTTTGTCTTGGTTTACAACACAATATGAATTCAAARTCTAGCTACTGGGTTTTTTCGTGTTGTAAATACATCGAGGTAGTCACCGGCTTAAAGCCAGTCTAGTGCCAGCTAKCAATAGTTCTGCACGAGCTATGAGTGCTGAAGTCAATTGATGTTGACAAAGCTGGATGGCTTTGGTAGCTCTTCGTGGCGAGTATCACCTGTTATTAAATGATATATCAATGTTATGCGGTCGGCTTTTTTGCTAGATGCAAATTCTACAACCATTGAGCAACCGCTGTGAAGCCTTCCAAACTCACAACACAAATCAAAACTACTCCAATAACATTTATTCCATTGCTTGGAATTCTATTCTATGAAACTTTATTGAGGTCAGAGATCTCTGAAATCATGAATGGAAAAACTGAAAAACCAAGCAATGTTTTATTAAATAATTTAAAGGTGAAAAAATKATTATTACAAATGAATTTTGTTCGTGTTAATGGAAGTATGGATAATTACTAATTTAAACCCACATGCAAATTGCAAAKCAATATTTCGAATTAAGGTGGTTGACTACTTTGGTAAATGATAAACAGAAAATTGACAATTGAAACTTTCTTAACCTGAAATTTAATGATGATTTCAAAAATGCAAAGAAAAATGGGGTGTCCCGAGCTTGTTTTTGAGATAATAACTCTTGGATGACATGCGTTTGTACAATTTTGGAAGAAAAACAGCGAAAATCAAGCTCTGTAAAAAAAATCATAAACCGAAACTAAGGAAGAAACATGAGTAATTTTCTCCGAACACGTAACTTACACTATATTTAGAAAAATCGGATAAAAGTTGTTTTAATATACTATTGTAGACAAAAACTTTTTTTGTTCGGGTTCTAAGGTGTGCAAGTCATCGTAAAAATTGAGCACAAAACAAACAGAACGATTTTTAACATTGTTCTAATGAACAAAATTGTCTTAAACTTTGAAAAATAATGGGATATTACCTGTGTTATTCCGGAAAATAACAAAAAAAAAACAAAAAATAAAACTATAAAAATAGAGTGCCGTGTAAAATTTGAGGGTTTTGCGCTCTTGAAGTTCAAAACGTGTATGGTTCTTCAACAAAATCGTGAAGATTATTCAGCGGTTTTTGAGCGCGCGCACATCGTGGGCTGTTTAAAAGTAGGCAGTCACCTTAAAACAGAAAATTAAGCTAGAATTTATATTACGAAAACCTTTAGACGACTCAAGGGATCACACAAAATTCTATTTAGAAAGACAAATTATTTTTTCCTAATCAAACATCAGATCGATCAAAGTCAATTAATAGTGTCACTTATTGCAAGTCGATGGAGCAACTTTATCATTATTGGGTAGCCTTTGGATTCCAGTACAGGTAGCCCGATCACTAGGGTATTTCTTATCTTCCACATTCACCACATGGAAGTGACTCGTCTCCAGTCTTGATGAGCTTGAATATCACACATGTACCATTCTCTGGACGCAAGCCATCTACGCCTACCGTTGCCATGGTAGCAGGACTGGAGTACATCATCCAGTTGAGTCTCTGAGGATTACTTTGGTCATAACCACAGATGGACTCAATCATGGCGCCATATTTTGTCTTGCTGGCCTTAAATGTAAACTGGCCTCGAAACTGCTGCTCCGCCATCTTGAATATCTCGTGTACGGTAGAGCCTTGTTTTACTTTCACGTCAAATTGACGCTGGTCCGTTTTGGAGATATGAATTTTTAAACACACGTCGATAAGCTGAAAATAATACACAATCAATAATTACGCAGTGTATTATGGCCGTGAAGGGATTAGGATGACTTCTGACGGAGAAAACGAAGCTAGTAAAATCAAAGTTGCGGTATTACGAACAACATTAATTGCGCAACTTGTCGAGCGACATTGTCATTGCGTAGATCGCAGAGCAAATGCTGCTTGTATTACCACTCCGCGCGCAACAAATTCTTATTATTGCGCGAAGTAGAAACTCGTTCTAGTCTTTCTCAACTATGAAACTGTTTTGCGCGCGTGATGGTATTACGAGCTGAGCAACATTTATTCTGTTCGCAACTTGAAACACAACAATGTTGCGCGTGACAAGTTGTGCGATTTCGTTGCGCATATTACCGTGTATATAGCTATCAGTGTCTTCACGCAACGCTCATTCTTCTAAGTAGCCGTAGGGGAGTGAGACTATTATTACCGCAAAAGTCCCCAAAAAGATCACTAGCTTCATCATGTTTCCTTACCGGTTTTTCTCCTGGTGAGACAGTATTTTCTCCAACACTACTTTTACTAGGATAGATATTGTTTTTTGTGGTTTTTCTAGCAGGTTTTAGTCGATCATAAGGCCTCTTCCCTTTCAATACCGGCAATATCTGGATAGTAGACATGAGATCTCCAAACGATCCATCATCTTTCTGATGACTTAGAAGGTATTGCATAGCCTGGGGACACTGCCACTCTAGTTCTGTCCAATTTCTGTTTGAAATAATAGCCTTGAGAAAAGGGAAAGATATGTTAGATTTTGTCCAATGATAGGGACAGTGGGGTATCCTAAAAAATGTGGACTCAGATTGGAATACAAAGCAGACAGTGCTATCTGTCACCCGTGACCTCAGACACGCGTACCTGTACTGCTAGTGCTGTTGTGATGCCATTTGTACCAAAACTTCCATCATTATTCTGCCTCTTTAACAACCATTTTGTCCCACTTTTAATCCAACGTTTGAGCTTGATTTTCTTATCTCGTACCAGGTCTCGACGTTGCTTTTTCTGCACGCATCGAAGAGCAATCGTCGCCATAGCAACAGTATCAATGCTCTGATATGGATACTTTGGTTTCAACAGTGTCTTCATAATTCTGCGGATCTCCCAGTATCGAATGGCTGGTTTACCACTGTTACACCGAGCCAACACAGTCACCATGTATTGGAAGGGATGCGTAAAGCCACCCTTGCAACACTTTTGAATCCCTTGCTTCATCCGCGCTATGAACTCTGTCCTTGGATTGCGACCGCTAGCGATGTATCCTTGAGTATAGTAGGCAATTTTTCCGACGTCTGTGCCATTAACGTCAAAATCCTTGTAGATGTTCGATATCGTGTGGTTAGTTAGAGACCCTAGGGGGTAGTTGACGAGTCGGAGGGAGTGAAACGCCGTACCAAGAATATGGCCTTCAGTTTCAGTGGTGTTGTCGATGAGATTCTTACTCAGCCATTCTGCTGCTCGCGATGCTGCATCACTCAGGTTTTGGGTGAGTGCGTCGTCACCTAGATCCAAGTTTATGATGAAAGAATTATAATTACATAGAAAAAAAAAGAAGACTACAACTGTCCTGCAAAGTAGTAAACTTAAACTAATCGACGCAGGACAGAGGGTTAGAGAAAATTACAAGATTATTCGTTTTTTGTTTTTTTTGTTTTTTTTTTGTTTTTTTCTTCTTTCCCTTGGAAAACAAAAAATAAGACAAAAAAATGGAAGATACTGTAAATGTTCCGTGTTTTGGTTAAAAGTTATGCATGGTATACGTTCGGTATCCGATAGCCGAGCGTTCGTTTCTTATTCAATGTTTTAAAGTGCCTATGACACCTAATTCAAAATTTTCAGCCTTGATTCTACATCGGCTTTATTAAATACACAAAACTTTGCTGGGGCAGTAAAATATCCCGTATAAAACATCATTGTCTTACTTAGGATTTAAAGAAATTAAAGGTTCTAGCGAAAACATTTTTTCATAGTAATCAGTGTTTCGATTTCAATGTGATGGCAGAAACTAAAATGCCTCCTTTGACGTCACGTCATTAACATATTGGGAGTATAAACATTGATATCTCCAAGAAGTATCACTCAAACCATATAAAAATAATTTACTACTCAACATTTCACTTAATTTAGAATCAATGCTGAAAATTTTGAATTAGGTGTCATAGGCACTTTAACGCGTTTGAAAGCTGCAAAATAATGCTGTTAAATTGACCTGACAAAAATCAAGTATGGAACATATATCCTGCGAGTTCTTAAAAGATATATAAAGGACGTTGGTTTCAATAGGTTTAAAACAGGTAGCACTCAGTGAGCAAGCAAACCCGATTTTGCCAACAGTATTAGAAATAAAAATAACATTGGAAAAATAAAATATAAATCAATTAATAAAGGACCTGACTTAAGTATGAGTTTTTGAAAAGCTAAGGTAAGGTCTGATATTGAGAAATTACCAATAGCTAACTCAATGGAGTATTATAAARCAAAACTATCGCATATACACATGTATATGGACTTTAGCCTCGGCTTAGTAATTGACGAGCTAGCCTGCGATGCTTGGCAGTCTGCGATGCTGCGAAGAAGTGGAAGGGCGGGRAAAAGATCTCTCTCTTCCTCTTCTTCCAACACCGCAGACTGCCGAGCATCGCAGGCCACTGACGAGCTGACTAGTTTAAYATATCTATCTGTATATATTCTAAATATTATTTTGAACTTATAAATTGTACGTAGCTTTTTCATGTTATTTTTGCCATAATTTTGTATTTTCATATTAATATTTTAATAATTTTGTAAATTAGGTATGAAGATCTCATCAAGGGAACCTAAAGCTTATTGTATATCGTGTTGCAATGTATTCACACGTATGAAGTCTCGGTGCTCAGATCGGTGCCAGATCACCGAACATGAAGTAAAGGTCAAAGCCGAGTTAAGTGACGAATGATTAATTTTACCTTCAAATTTCCAGGATTTTGAAAAATATTTTCTATGTAAATAKGAAAATTGTCGGACACCCTAACGACACTAACGACACCTTAACATAGCTTGGGTTGCTCGTGTTCTCTGTGCCAAGGTAAATGAATTTGTACTTACCACAACCAGGGAAAGCATCAAGTTGAGGAAAAACCAGTGAAAAGAGTACGAAGAAGACTAACAAACGGATGTCCATGTCGAAAGAATGAAGATTATTAGAGAGAAGTGACCTTCGCACCAAGGATTTCATTTCCGGTCATGTGAGCTTGTCTTCGGATTAGATTTCAATTTTTATTTCGGGCTTCCTGTGGAAATACTAGATTATCCACAGGAAGCCCATTTTTTTTTAACCTAACCACTCTCGACCACAGAGTCCTGTCAAAACTCGTTCTCAGAGCCGTTATTCCTTACTGCACATGAAAAAAGGGCTCTGGGAACGAAATTGATCCCTCTCACTTCTACTGCGCATGCTGGAAAATGTGCTAAAGCATGCGGAGCAACGATGATAGGCGGGCCAGTAGGCAGGAAATTTAGAAAATTGCTGAAGGGAAACATCATACCTGTAGCAAAACGTCAGAATGGGCAGCTTTATTTTGGGTTTGGTGTTTACTAATGAATCATAAATTGCAAGAATGAAGCCGGTGCTGGCTGCCTTTTTAATTTTCTTCTTTATATGACAACCTTCTTCCAATATTAAGTAGTTTTCGTTTTCAGATCATGAAGATGTGTGGGGATTGACATCCACACAAAAACTGACATCAAACTTAACTTGGTTGGTTGCCAAGGAATTTAACCTCCGTTTCCTAAGCATGCGCAGGAGCGACTAATATTAGCAGAAAAGGTCATTTGAATTCATTGTAAACAGCTTCGCAAGCAGGAACTTCTGATAGTATAACTTTACTTAGTCACACGCCAACATGATCAAGGTGAGTTCATTACGGGTAACGTTACTACTCCTCAAGAAAAGAAAAGGTGCTGTTTTCTGATACTAAAGTTTCTTTAGTCGATGTTCGATGCTTTTAGGAACTTTCCATGCTCGATGCACAGCTCCTTGTTAATGCCCCATGTCGATAGTCGTCAACATTTTGAAATGAAAGGGTTCAGTAACTCGATATATGGAAACGGTACTGGAAGTATTTGTGGCATGAAGCCCGTTGATGGTAGATAAAACAGCTCAAAAAATCTGAAACCGCTGTTTATTTTCTTTGAGGTGAGTGTTTCGATCCCCAAAGACAACGAATCTCAAGAAATGTCGTGTGAGTAAAGCTTAGTGTGGGTTTTTATAGTAAATCAAAGCGTTTGTACGAATGTAGAGCACTTTGTAGATCAAAACGATGTGACGCCCCCCGGAAGAAATCTGACACTAGATCCGAAAACCTGACTCAAAAATCTGACTCGAAAGCCTGACACCAAATTCACTTTCGTTCACTATCAAACTATCGACTATCGAACATTTCCAGACCTTGAAATCCTAAATAGGTCTTCATCATATCCGCCGAGGATTTTGGTGTCTTCGTCGCTTTCATGTTTACTTGGCGCTCTGTTTTTGTCTTACTTTTTTGGTGTCTTGATGTGACGTTACTCGTTGAGATTGTACAGTCGTGACGGCGTCACGTTATTTTTCATCCAGGTTTTCGCTTCATAAAGAAAACAACGCATTATCCGAGATTGAAATTTGATGTTAAATATAAGCAAACTATATGACTAAATAGCTAAATGTCTTAAGTTATAATAACTGATTATATTTCGTCAAACTCGAGACAAGCAACACAATTGAAAAAACGTAGTCGGGTTCGAGAAGGTCATATCATCGAAGCTAAGACCGAAAAGGATTTTAGGTACTCAGAAATGTGTATTATATTTGCATATAGACATGTAAAAATGCACAGTAGAGCAATGTCGGTCGACCTAGATTAACAACATGCCAAAGCCATAATGCATAAAATGTGCACAGGAAGAGAAAACTGCAATACGCATGAAATTAGCATCACTGTTTGTCTTCCCATGCTCGCCTTCGGTCTTAGCTTTGATGATACAACCTTTTTTGAACCTGACAACGTTTTTTCAATTATAGGTGTATTAATTAATTTGTTGCGAACTRCAATTAAAAAATACAAGGCCATTCACGTCGGCAACCCATAATCCATTTTTGTCTCTGATTTTAGGTCTCCGACCGACAACTTTTTTTGAAATAGGTGTACACAAGAATACTCGACACTCTTTAAACGGACAATTTGACTTTCAAATCTTGCTATGTTATTTTTAGGTGTCTGTTCGTCTTGAGTTYTTAACCCCTCCACCGATCGGTCCCACACCACCCCCGGTAGAACCAGTGGGTTTAAYAGTCAAGGAACACACTAATGCCTACGACATTCTAACCCTCGCTGCTAAGGAGAACCCTGCCTATAAATTCACTACAATCGAGCAGCAACCTTATGGCCACTTTGTAACATCCATCGACGGCGTGTACGAGGATAAGGTTAATGGCAAATACTGGATGATGTATTCTGATCCAGACACCTTGGCGCCCACTGGGATTGACAACTTCTACCCAAAGGATGGATCTTGTACCATCTTCAAGTATCAAATAGCGAAAAGTAACATAGAACACTGAAATATCGATCAGGCTTATGGAAATGGACTGAGAAAATAAAACAAGCCCGCAATTATTTGATGATGAGCTAGCCACAACACGGTGTATAATTAGGTATAAGAAAAAAGCTGAGTAACAATGTAAACTATGTATGATTAGTGATTGACATTTTTCAGGCTAAGAGAAGCACATTTGTAATGGCGTACATATCGTCAGGAAATAGTTGACAAATTATAGAATCATTTCGTGCTAAAAATAAATCATGATATTACGGTACAAATGCGTTCTTTAATAAGTTTAAACTGATCAAACTACTTTTAGTTAATGTGTAGACAAAACAAAAGCATGTATCTGAAGTCGGTCGCAATGGTATCCATCCATTCGACCTTCCTTCCTTCCTTCCTTCCTTCCTTCCGTCCATCTTTCCTTCCATCCATGCATTCATCCATGCATGCATCCATCTGTACTATACCAACTCTTCAGCAGCAAATGAGTAATGACTTGGACCACATTTCATTATGGCTTCGCGATAATATTTCACGTTAAATGTCTTAAAGTCTGAGTTTATATTGATTGCATCGAGACAACGAATTTCTTCTCTCGAAGACATTCATTTGAATTTATCTGTGAACGGCTCGTTGCTAAAACGAACACACGAAACAAAGTATCTTGGTGTGCTTMGAGGCGCGGAAAACCTAACTTGGAGATCCCATGTTGACACCGATTACAAAGAAAATAAGATCGAACCTTGGCACAATCAAGAAAACGGTGTGGTTGTGGTAACGGTCTGTCCGGGTTCTCCTCTCCTCTCTTGAGGCTGGCGGTTCGGAGTTCTGCGTGAAAACCGCACCGTATATGATATCTTATGACACATAAATAAAGGTTATTATTATTATTATTATTATTATTATTATTTAATGAAATCAGTTTTAGATCGACATTGCCTAAATAAAGTGTATAATATGGCAATTGTCGATCAATACTTTAACTACTGCAGTAGTTTCAGATAAACTACAAAATTACAAAATCGAGCCGCTCGCATAATTACTATGGCACTGATTAACGTTTAGCCATCAGGACTACTGAAGTATTTAAAGAACTTAATGGTCATTTTTAGATGAAAAACGAAAGTTGCAAAAATCGATTCTGATGTTAAAGATTGTACATATGGTTTAGCCCCCAGCTCTTACTAAGATGATGTTTCCAAAACAATTCGCATCAAAATCATACCAACTTTTCATGAAACAAGGAAGGAAGAACAATCTTTATCCAAATTCAAGAAAAAAGTCAAAATTCATTTTTCTGCATCAACAGAAAGTAACTAAAAACTATATCTAGTTATATATATAATTTACATTAGATTTTAGATATACGAACTTTTAGAATATTATAAATAGTAGATATCCAACATTGTAATTATCAGTTTCATTTTATATATTCAAGTATTTATTGTATCCATCCATGCTTCCATCCATCCATCCATCCATCCATCCATCCATGGATAAGCGAGTGCTGAGAGACAGTCAAGTACGCTATCACAAGGGTGGATCCAGGGTTTTTTTGAAAGGGGGGTCTCACGGGTAAATTTTGTGGGCAAAGGAATCCCAGTCGCATTTTTACCACAGGAAGCTCATTTGACCTCAGGAATGACAGGGGGGTCGCGACCCCCCCGACCCTCCCCCTGGATCCGCCCTTGCATCAGGATACGTTAAGTGTGTCTTCAACTGGGTGTGACACGGATACCAATTTATTTTCCAAAAATAGAACAACTTCCTTTTGGTTGATATCATTGCTATTGCACACACACAMAAAAACATTTATAATTGGCCAGGGGAAAAAAATATTTTGTCATTTTCTTCTTCATATGACAACCTTCTTGCAATTAGGTCTTTTTCGTTTTCGGATCATGAAGATGTATGGAGAGTGACATCATCATGACCAAAAAAACCTGCCATCAAACTTAACTTGGTTGATTGCCAAGGTATTCAATTTCCCTTCCCTACGCAGGAGCGACGGCGAATACAAATCAAGGAGAAACGGTTATTTGAATTCATTGTAAACAACTTGGCAAGCAGGAACGTTCTGATAATATAACTTTATTTAGTCACACGACAACATGATTAAGGTGAGCTCATAACGTTTCTACTCCTCAAGAAAAGAAAAGGTGCTGTTTTCTGATATATGCTAAAGTTTCTTTAGCCGCTGCTTTAAAAATCCATCCATGTCATTGCTCTATGTCCATAGTCGATGCTCGATGCATTTTAAAGAGGTCCATGAAAATCATGAGAAATTCAAAATGGCATGCCAACTATCAAACTATCGACTAGCAAACATATCCGGATCTTTAAATCCTTACTAGTTCTTCATTAAAACCGCCGAGTTGGTCGGTGTCTTCGTCGCTTTCACGTTCACTTTCGCTCTGTTTTTGTCTTTCACTCAGTTTCTTGCTCATTTACATATACCGTCTCAGCTCTTCGAGTTCACTGAAGGTGTAAAACTCTTCCATATCTCGTGTTCTAATAATGATAATAATAATAATAATAATAATAATTGTCCAACATGTAATACTTCTTCAATTTGTCTAGGTGATTCTCTTGTGAAAGTTTCTTAATTTCGAAACCCACCTACAAAAATATCCGCTTTCTTTTTCAGTGGTGTCTTGATGTGACGTTACTCTTGAGATTGTACAGTCGTGACGGCGTCACGTTATTTTTCATCCATACAGGTTTCCGCTTCATAAAGAAAACAACGGCATTATCCCAAATTAAAGC